TGATTGATTTTGGAACGCTGATTTCGAAAATATTATCCGTTTTTGTATAAATCCACATACACCCCCCGAAAAATCGAAATCTTTGGTTGTAAAATCAAAATTTTACTAATGAAATGAAAACAAAAATGTCGCGATTTTCAAAATGTTTTGACCGATTCTGAAAGTTTTCGAGGCGCTGATACCGAATATGGAATTAGTTTTTGGAAAAAAAAATTCTTCTGCCCCTGTTACCAATTTGAAGTTTGAAAAATCGCCAACTTTGAAGCTGATTTTAACTATGAAGACGATGATAAATTTGTATTTTTTTTGGTTTGGTATAAAGATTGTACTTTAGTCTACACAAAGCATTAATTAAAATTATTAATTTCATTCATTAAGTGCCTTAAAATTGCATTTGAAAGTCACGATTTTGGCCAATTTTGGCTGCTCCTGATAGACTGTCTTTTTATCGAAAAAATAATAAGATTTTTAAATTACACCAAAGTAGGTTTGGTTTACTGCTAACCAGGCGTAAATATGAATTTATTAAAAATTATCTTCCTACTTTTTCTTATCTTTTATATATATATACACGCGTATATATATATATATATATATATATATATATATATATATATATATATATATATATATATATATATATATATATATATATATATATATGCGTATATATATATATATATATATATATATATATATATTATGTCGATTTTTGTAATACTGACACTCAATAAATTTAATTCTACCTATATGTCTTATTTATTTACACAGTTTGAAAAATTATTGGCTTCAAATATTTTTTTCAGTCAAATGGGGTTCGAACTGGCGAACCTCGAATTGATATTTTGTCATAAAACATGACTAACAACCTCGGCCATTCGCACATTTGGCATACTACATTTTTAGGAAACTTATATCTTTCATTTCAGAAATAAGACTTTATATTTTACAAATAGAAAACCGTTCTGTATAACCAATTGGCCGAGATCGTTAAGTGACCACTACGGTTGCTCATTGTTTCTCGGTTCAAATCCCCAAGATGCTTGAAAATTCGAATGATTAGTTTTTCATAAATATCAAATATTAGTTCAAAATATTAAATTCAGGTGTCGCATTTCGACCTTGACACTTAGAATATTTCTGAAAAACAAAAAACTCAAGTTTCGCACTTGACTGTAAGAGAGATACATAAAGAGAGGGGGAAAAAAAAAGGTAGAGGAAGAACTGGGGAAAGAGAGGGGTAGAGGCAGATGATGAATAAGAGAGATGTGTATGATACATATTCTTTATTAAAATTCAATATTAATACAATATAGGAATAAAAATAACTTTTATCATCAATAACTCAAATAGCCGAGTGGTTTAAGGGACCGCATACTCGGTGAAATTACTCTGGAGGCACAAGGTGAGACGGATCGAGTCCAGCTGAAGGCAACGACGACCAACTATGAAGCAGTGCTGGTGACTGGCTGTTGGCGAGCGCAAAGGGTCCTGAAACAAACACACGAAGTGATGGTCAACCTGAGGTCCATGAAGGTTACACGCAGAGAGACACATTGCGAAAGATGCATGCCGAGCCCAAAAATCTACCCAAAAACTACAACATGCGAAAAAAATAACACCAAAAAAGGAAAAAAAATGTGAAAAAAGCGGAAAAAAAAGGGAAAAGAAGGAGGAGGAGGAGGAAGGGGAGGGGGAGAACCAAAAAAAAACCCCCCTAAGTCCCAGATCAATTTTTCTCTTTTCTGTTCAGCGTTGAAACTTTTTTATGTTTTTTAGTGTTCCCTCACACCAATTCCCAAAGTCAACACTCGAATGAAATCAAGTCCACGTTGAAATTTTCACAACGAGAAAAAATTACTGGGACTTAGTTAAAATATTTAACTTTGCCCCAATAAAATTTTCTCGTTGTGAAATATTCAATGTGAGCCTCATTCATTCGAATGTTGGCTTTGGGATAATACAGCATGCATAAATAACTCGTCTGTCTTAATTGAAAAGGTTTCAGAAAATTTGGACTTAGAAAAAAAAAATATCTGAAAGGACTTAGAAAAAAAAATTATTCGAAAGAATTATAATCAGAAAATTTGGACTTAGAAAAAAAATATATATCTGAAAGGACTTAGAAAAAAAAAAATATTCGAAAAAACTATAATCAGAAAATTTGGACTTAGAAAAAAAAAATTATTCGAGAGAATTATTTAATTAATCGATGACATGAAATGATATTAATCGAATCAAAATTGTTTATACGACTTGATGAAACATATGAAACCTTTACAATTATTTGAGACAAAAACAAATATAGTTGACTTGAATAATATACAAATTATTAGAAAAAGCCATAAAAGAAATTCAATAAAACATGTAAAATAAAATAATGAAAAATGTTCGAAAACTTGAACATTAAAAACTTCAAAACTGTTTAAAGCTGATTGTTATCCTTTAGAAATCAAGTTAAATAATTTTTACTACTTGAATCGAATAATAAACTTGTAAACAAAATTATATTTTGTCTAATCATTCAAGTCAACTCTTCGAAACTTTGATTGCAAGTCTTGATCAAAATTGTTTTTAGCAACAAAAGAATAAAAATTTATCATTTAGCTATGCAGCGATATAATTGAATAAATTTAGAATAAAACTACAGTCAAAGACTTTTAAAAGCTGCATTTAATTAACAATTTCGTAAGTTATATTGAGAGTTTTAAATATTTTGATCAAAACCAACAATCGTGTTATCATAAAAAAGAAAGTTCGTGCAGTCAATATCGCTAAAGGGAAAACACATGATTCTTGACACTGAAAATATCAAATACAAATACAAATATTTTTTCTGTATAATAATGAACAAGAGATGTAATAAAAAAGAGTTTTTTGTTACAAAGTAAGTTTGTAATTTGTAACAAAATACCATCAATTTAGGAGTTACCTAAGGAGGATTGCTAGGGCCTCTTCAACAAATAAGTAATCAATGTACACAAAAAGCTGTATTGGTTAAATAATAATTTAGTTACAAACATTTTTATATACATATAACAATTCTGAATTCCACACAAAATCTGCCCATAGATATAAAATAAAAAATAATTTCTGAACGTATTTCTGATTTCTGACTATCTTCTTCGGCACTTGTATAAATAAATAAAAGAACTGAATCAAAATGTTTTCCCCGTAACAAATTAAATAAGAACATAGTCTTTCACACATATGCCTGCCCAATTAATTTAAAAGCTTTTATTCGCATAAAAGTTGTAGTTGAATATACAAAAGATAAATTGTATTTTATGCATTAAAAATTTATAAAGTATACCTTATTAAAAAAATGACATTGGCTCAAATATAAACAATATTTTTAGCAGATATATGTATGCAAAATAATAATAATGCACAAGTCAGAAAATATTTCACTAAAATATATACAGGTTAATTTATAAATGACACCGGATAACAAAGGGACAAGTTCTCAAAGTACCTTCAAATCAATTTGATTTAATTAGAAAAACAAGCATAAAATACATAATTAATAAGAAATATTATTATTACAAGTATAAAAAGTAGCATACAAACTTAATCAATAATTGTAAACTCCTTTCGGAAAATAAATTCTATATTTTTTTATTTATTTCTATTGTAGTTTTATTGAAGATGACAAACAATATTGTGTCAAAAAAAAAAGATTTTCAAAATTAATTGACTGCTTTAAAATCAAAATTAAGAAATACTTAATGCATATATATACATTATATATATATATATATATATATATATATATATAATAGGAAACTAAATATTTAAAACATGGTGCATCGAATGCTATACGATAAATGCCTGTATATAATTCCAGAAATATAATCTTTGACTCGATTTGTATAAAACATGCTTTGCACTTACATTGTAATGAATCGTCTTCAACAGCTCCCAGAACACAAATCCAAGACTTCAACCACCTCTGTAGCATCTGCCAGAAACCTCAAGTACTTGACACAAAATCACTACTTTAAAACCACTATATAACTTTGTCTTTTACATGCCTATTGGACATGTTGCAATTGTCCGAGTAAAGTCTTTACACAACACACAATACATGACATACATTAGAGACTTTTGTGAACTTAAAATTCGATAACAAATTGATTTGAAGTGGAAATGTTTAAGCAATACCTACAAAAGCATACACATACATACATATATAAGTTGCACAATTGACAATTGCATATATATATAAATAAAGGATACTTTGGCTGTGCTGTAAGTAAAATGTTTAATTATAAAATTGATACGAAATAGGAGCCCTGAAAACAAATCATGGTACACACCTAAACATTTCGACACAAATCTATTTTTTGGCTATTTTTGACCATTCCACGTTATATTTTTTATATCAAGTTGTTCTACTAAATTAATTAATCAATTTGATGCACGAATTAATTAAATCTTATCAACAAATTAATTAAAAACTCTTAATTAACACGCGTACATGTTTATTCACAAAAATCTCTTTGACAATTAAAATTAGCAAAATGTCCGACATTAGTACAATTTAAAGCGCGAAATTTAAACACAAAATTTGAAATTTGCGAAATTCATTTAAATTCATCAAAATCAGTTCAAAGTGATTAGATTTGCATAAAAATATAAAATTTTTCAGTTAAATTTGTTTTATTAAATTATTTCAATTTATTGATGAATGTTTCATTTAGATTTGATACTTAAAAACAAATAATATTATAAATATATACCATAAAATTTATAATTACAATTACAATATATATATATATATATATATATTGTATATATATATATATTATATCCTCAAATGCAATCCAAGATACAAATAGCATACCAAATATTTAAAATAGACTGAGTGAACATCTTGATGCTCACAGTGTTCTCTTCTTAAGTAAATACAAAAATTAGATTAAAATTGATATAGTTTATATATATATATATATATATATATATATGTATATATATATATATAATATATAATATTTGCAATGTCCGTCTTCAAAGACCATTATCTCAAAAAGCATTTATCAGAAAACTGTCAAATCCTCCTCCGTCCCGACGGAGAACGAGGAATTTTCGCCTCCCAAGACTTAAAATCAGGAGATCTCCTTTTCCAAGATAGACCTTTACTTCTGGGCCCTAAAAATGCTGTCACTGCTGTTCAGTGCTCATGCTGTTATAAATCTAATGCGGATTTAAAACCCTGCAGAAAGGGGTGCTCTTTGCCATTGTGCGAAGATTGTTCGAAGGACAAAGAAGAACATGAACAAGATTGCACGATGCTGAGGAATTTGGGTATTTGTGATAGTAAGGATAATGGATATAAATATATATATATATATATATATATATATACTAAGTATATATCATTGCAATTATTTTTTTTAGCAAATTCCTGGAGCCTGAACGTCCTCCGAGCTCTGACTCCGTTGCGTGCACTGCGTTTGCAAGAAAAAGATAAAAACGTCTTGAAATTATTAAAATCACTCAAGAACATTCCAACTAGAGATGAATTGGATAGTTTTTTGAGATTATTAGATAATCCTAATATCATAGATGTACAAGATATTGAATTTATGCATCAAGTTTGTAGTATTCTGCAAACTAATTCTTTTGAAGTGCCTGTTGTCAACTGTGGGGTGGAAATTAGTTATATCAGAGGTATATTATATATATATATATATATATATAATTAACCTGGTAAAAATTCTTACTGGTTAAATTTGTTGAGAATGTGCAATATTTTTCTATAACTTTCGTAACTTTTAAACCGTAGCATGAATAGTAATTATGTATTAAGTAAATTTGTTCTCGATCAAATCATCTTCAACTTTGTCTAACATTATAATGCTCTACAAGAACTCGATCTACTTACAAAATGATTTTTTATGTAGGCATTTATCCCATGGCGGCTATGTTGAATCATTCGTGTGCGCCGAACGTGCGCCATTCTTTTGTTAAAGAAAAGGCAGAGGATTCGGTAAAAGGTAAAAACTTATTATAATTATTATATAAATTATATTTTATTATTTTATTGCTTACTCTTTTATCTAGGGGGTGTACAATTTTCGCCGATTTTAGAATTTCGTGCAAGACAAGATGTAAAATGTGGAGAAGAATTATTCATTACCTACTGCGATATCACTGATGTGACATCAGTCCGGCTCAAAAAATTGTCTTTGACTAAAGGATTCTTGTGCAAATGTCCAAGATGCTCAGATAGGACGGTAAATTATTTTATAATATGTATCATATAATTTTAATGTGCCTGTATGAAATCGCCATTTAACAACAAAAAAGAACAACTTTTATGCTGATTTTGATTAGGAATTTGGCACAAATATTTCTGCATTCAAGTGTGCGAACCAAGATAAAGACTGTGCAGGTATGATGTTACCGCAGGAGCCCCTAAAATTATCTACAGATTACATTTGTATATCTTGCAACTTTATTTTAAATAAAGATTTAGTAGAAGATTATCAAAAATCTGCAACAGCATTATTGGCAACTTTGAAAAATGGACAGTTAGACAAGGTAAGCGCTACCATCTGGTTCATACTGTCTGAAAACTATTTATATAATAAATTTATTTAATTATTTAATTATTACAGGTGATAAAGTTTTTACAAAAAAACAAAGAATCAAAATGGCTGCCTCAATGTAGTTTGTATACATAAAATTAAAAATGCATTTAATTTCTAATTTAGGACATCAAGAAGGATTCCAATGGCATGGTACATAATAATCTGTATTAAACTTTAATTGAAAATCATTATCATATTATGCTTGCAGAACTGATGACTGAACACGTTGTTATTGAAAAAACAAGCATGTGATGATATTTTACAATTTCTCACCAGAGTAAATTATTGTAATCAACTCTGTATGGTTCAGTATGGCATGAAGCTCAAAAATGTATTCGACATCTTTCACAAACAGAAGTAAATATAAAATGATTAAATATCTAGTCATTTAACTTTATTTATTCTTATTGTTGCAGAGTGATATAAAATTGGCGAATGATTATTTAAATGAAGCAAAAGACATTTTAAAAAATGATGTTACTGTTGTATTAGATGATTATTAAAGATCTTCCGCATTCTGCTTTAATATACAAGTGGGATTAGTAGTATGTATATTATCCAAATAGATATACAAGTGGATTTAGTAGTATGTATATTATCCAAATAGAAAAAATAGAATGAGTCAAATAACGAATAATATTTACAAAATTTATTCTCATTTACTTTCAAAATATGTGATATAATACAATCGAGCACCATAATTCCAATATCAACAGATATGTATAATAGTTATTTTA